TTACTATCCAATAGTCATTCATACCTTTTTAACTGTTATTCATTAGGGAGCTGTTTAACTATGTAACAGTGTTGTAACATATTGGCTGGAATATATATGCCCTCTTCTAAGATCTTATTTTGTTATGTCTCTTCGCTGGTGTAGGTATAGGAAAAACTGTTAAAGAAAAAGTTTGTGTACATACCAGCCGTGATATACGTGCTATAGCAAGTCAACTGGTTAATGTGTGGATTGAAGTTTTCCGGAAGGAAAAAGCATCTAATGGTGGTTTAAAGTTATTGAGACAATCAACTGCCCTGGATTCTTTGAAAAGCAGATCTCTAGCTTTGGGAAAGCCACCTATACGCATGCATGGTCCACCAGATAATAAAGGAAGTTCACAGATTTCTGCATCTGCTGGAAATCATTTGCCTCCCAATGCAAGCGTTAAGAGAGTTAATGTCAAGCCTGTCAATTTGGATACCAGGACTAACGCAAAATTGGAGGTTAAGTTGTCAAGGTCTCAGGGCTCCTTTGGTAGAGAGGATACTAAGGGCGAGGATGACCACAACTTCGCAATGTCTGAAGAAGAACAGGCTGCACTTGCTGCTGCAGAAGCAGCCCGAGCTGCAGCTGTTGCAGCTGCCGAGGTTTGTTGCTCTTGGTACTATACTCGCAGTATTAGTCGACCATTTTATGGGTGCTAACTTTCATTTATCTAATTTTTGGTTTTTTGAACTGTGCTGTTTGAGAAGCATTTGGCATTCCAGCATTGTGATTTTCTGTATCCTTCTCTAATATATAGTTTTTAATCTTACGGGTTTGCAATTTTTGGGGATTTCTCTTAACGCATGAATAGGATATAAGTTGGTTAAAACCAAAATGCAGAAATTTGCTTTTCATTGCCCTGGACTTGTTCTGTACACTACCATATCCTACATTATAATGGCTAAACTAATGAATGAGATATCATGTAAATCATTTTTTACATTTGCTCCTGGAGGAAGGCGTAGACGCCTTAACTCTGCATCTCTGCTCCCATAGGGTGCTCCCTCCCCCCCATTCTTTTGTTCTCCCTTCTCTTCTGTGTTCTAGATGCATTTTTTTAAATAGTCAAATGGTTATCTTGCATTGCAGGCATATGCATCTTCTGAAGCCAAGTGTAACACATCATTGCCGCTTCCTAAAATACTGTCATTCCACAAATTTGCTAGACGTGAGCAATATGCACAAATGGATGAGTCTGATATTAAAAGGAAGTGGTCTGGTGCTGCTGTAGGAAGACAGGATTGTATATCAGAAATAGATTCTAGGAACTGCAGAGTTAGGGATTGGTCTGTTGATTTTGCTGCTGCTTGCGTCAACCTTGACAATTCAAAAATGTCCGTTGATAACCTCTCACAGCGGAGCAACTCGAATGAGATTGCATGCCAGTCAAACATCAGAGAGCATTCAGCTGAAAGTGCAGCTGTAGACAGCAGCTTATTTACCAAAGCATGGGTTGATGTTGCTGGTAGCGTTGGGGTAAAGGACTATAATGCTATTGACAGATGGCAATCTCAAGCAGCTGCTGCTGCCGCTGAGTCTGATTTCTTCCAGCGGGCTGTGCACATAAGGGATGAGGAGGATTCAAACATGAATTCAAATCTACCTTCGTGGAAACATGAACAATTAGCAAATGAGAGCTCTGTTTCTCAAGTCACTGTAAACAAAAACTTGGTTGGAAATCAACCTAGAGGGGCAGATCATATTAAACAGGCTGTTGTGGATTATGTTGCATCATTACTCATGCCTCTTTATAAAGCGAGGAAAATTGATAAGGAAGGATACAAGTCGATTATGAAGAAAACTGCAACCAAGGTTGGCGTCATCATCATCATCTACTACTACTTCTCTTTGGCCCTTCTTATTTATTTATTTATTTTTTTTCTATGAATATATTTAATGCTATTTCTACATATAATGGCAATCCATAGTTGTTTGGTTGCTTTCATGGCAGTACAATGCAGATCTTGCATATATGCTTTGAAAAGTCATGGCATGCTGGCAGAGAAATAACAGTTGTGGCCAGCAATGGAACTGTCCTTGTGAATTACTCTGGTTTGGTTCTTCCTTTCATGGTCTTCTAATTTATTTTCCTGCCAAATGTCAGGTCATGGAGCAGACCACGGATGCAGAGAAAGCTATGGCGGTTTTTGAGTTTCTTGATTTCAAGCGTAAAAATAAGGTTTGCACTTAATGTGTCCATGATTATGTAATTAATGTTCAATCTGTTTCTTTAGTTTTCTGTGGTGTTTTTGTTTCTGTAAACATCTTATTTTCAAGTAGGCTCTGTATGGCTGCAAACAAACCGAGCTAAATTCAGTAGTGTAGTGTTTGAGCCCGGCTCATTTATTAATTGAGCTCAAATTCAGGATTGAGCTAAGCTTGAATACACAGTCGAACAAGGTCAAGCTTGGCTTGTTAAATATTAACCAACCTCAAGTTTGGCTTAAAGCTCAAATCAAAACCGATATATATTATATACATTGTAAATGCATTTTACACAATTATATACGTACATAATTCATTTATATTATTGTTTTTGTATAAATAATAGTTGAGCCGAGCATCTTTAGCTCGAGCTCGGCTCATTTAATAGAGCTTGAATTTTGGCTCAAGCTCAGCTCGAATACACAATCAATGTAGTTGAGCTCAAGCTGTTCATGAATAACTCAATTCTTTTGCATCCCTAGGTTCTACTTGTTGCTTTGAAAATCAATTTTGGCTGAGTTCGCCTTTGGGGGTTGGCTTGCTCACCTCTCCATTACTTTTCCTTCACTTATGACAATATCCCCAAAATTTGTAGTTTTTTTAACACTTTGCTGACAACACAAAGAGAAGCTTGTTTCTCACCGTAGGCTTTTCATGTTTAACCAAACTTGTAATTATCATCCTGCCCATAGTCTGACATATATCCCCACAAAGCAAGTGCATTGCGAAGCCTTAATTGTGTTTAGTAATTTTAATTATATTTCTGTTTAGATTCCTTAAGGTGTCTTCCCCATGTTTTGTGTCTGATCCATTCTTTTGATCTTATAATATGCAGATCCGGTCCTTTGTGGATAAGTTGATTGAGAGACACATGGCGACGAAACCAGTTATGAAACCTTGATGGCCCCAAGAACAAACTGAACACAATTTTGTATTCGTTCTTTGCAAGAATTGCAGAAGACTGTTCCTGTTTGTTACTGCATAGAGTTCACAGCATTAGCTAGTGGTAAACCGGTACTGATATGCCAGAGGGTGGCTTTGGAGCAAGTTTGTCAATTAAAATGTTCGATACCAAAGTATTCCTTTTCCCGTCAGTGATTGGGAAGGTGCTGCAGAAAAAAAATGGAGATGGGTTAACTAAGGCCTTTGCATTGCAAATGTACTTGATGCAAGTTTTATAGTTTTTTGGTATTTCCATTACAGACATCAATTCTGTTTGAAGACAACTTCAGGTTACTTGCATGGACTCATCATAAATTAAGGTTGTACTTTTAGGGTAGAAACTCAAGACCCTTTTTTGGATTTCCATAGATGAGACATAGCCAGTTTTTTATCTTGTCATTTGGTCAAATGATAAATTGTACAGTTTAGGTTTTTTTTCAACAAATATACAGAACAAATTTTCTCCTTCAGAAGTATTATTTGCTTTTGTGATTTCTGAAAGTCAAATTCTCTTCATTCTCTCCAAAAGTTCAAGCAGGTGACTTTTTGCTTTTATAGTTGATCGTGTGAGGGATGTAAATTAACTATGTTTATACCATCTATACTATCCATACTATTATATAAAGTCTGCACCTGAGTTGGTGTAGATTGTCATGCTTTTCACTTTTTCCAAAATACCCCCTTGATAACTGCTCTAAACTGCTTTGGTTCTCTCAGATCCAATTCCTTCAAATAATTTTTACTTTAAATTTTACACACATGTATGTGTGCCGCACATGCAGAAGTGCACATGTTGCAGGCAGGATTGCTTGGGTGTTTATGTTTGCATCAGTGTTTGTAAAGGTTTCCCTCCATTTTGGAACTACTATGCATGGCATTTTGAATAATGACTATTGAGTACTTCCAACTAATAAATGAATAGTATTGTCAACATTCAGATCTACTTGAATAGGTGAGGTGTATGCAAGGGTGATGTGCAATTGACAATACTGTCTCTTAACTCTGGGTAACGAAATATGTATTTAATCACATTGGATGCATATGTCAAATAGTAGTTGTCATTAATAGGATCCAAATCCCCACCCCACCTCCCTTGCAGCACAAGTTTTGTCTTTTGCTTACACCTCTGTTTTTATTGTTGCCAGGTCAGCAGGTCATTGGGTGTGTTGTCTTATGCTTACAACTCTGTTTTTATTGTTGCCAGCTCAGCAGGTTGTTGGGTTTGTCTTGCCAACGAGGTATGCCCTTTTGCCTCTTTTCTTTTAAACTCTTTTGCGCATTAAATGGCAGGTTACAACTCAGAGTCTGATAATGATGTTCACATTGTATTTTATGCTATGAGAATACCTTGATTTGGAGGTTCAACTATGGATATGTACAAGAGAAGAATGATTGACATGATAAGTTTTTTTGATGATTTGCATCTGGAGATGCTTGATGTGTAAAAATTATGGTATTTATTTGATCTGCAGCGAAGTCTCTGAAAGTTTTTACCTTGAGAAAGGAAAGAAGTCACATTTCAGGGGATACGGTAAGGGGGACTTCAAAGATTTTATTCACGCTGAAGGTTGATGTCAACAGAAATTTGCTGATGGATGGAAGCGAAAACTGTAAACCTATTAGTAGTTGCTTTTGTGTCATGTGCCGGGGATGGCAAAGGCTAGCATGGGATTAATGTGATGACACAGGTATTTATATCTTAACTCTACAGCATATTTAGATTTGGTCGTCTAGTGCTATTTATTACCTTACATGAAAAGATTGATTACATGAAATTAGCACAAACATTGTCAATCTGAACTTTTATGGTCAAACCAAAAGCAGCCTCCACAGATGTATGTTCGTCTAGCGTTATTTGTCGCATTTGAATGATTCTTCATGTGCATTTGAATAATTCTTCATGTGCATTTGAATAATTCTGCATGTGCATTTGAATAATTCTGCATGCTACAGCCTGGGCATTATTTGTTCTTTTAGCATTTCTGAAGTATTTCTATTATTTTGCATATATCGGTCACTTCATTTCTTTTTGATTTGTGTTTGCTACGACCCAAAGCTGATGTACTACTATTATGTGTGATTGTGAAGAACAGTAAAATTCTATGTCATGGTCCCATCATGTGAATTTTCATGTGAATTTTAGGCTGCTGGCTGGAGGTGAATAAGTGGAATTTTGTCAATAATACGAGTCTCTGTTCATTCTTCCTCCTGCAGGTATATGGCACAAATCTTTTAAATCTTTTATTAACAATTTTTATTCTCATGTCTAATGCGCTTTTGGTCAAAATATTCTTGGGAGGATTTCCCCTCATATTTCGGCTGAGAGTGCATTAGACACAAAGAAATGATTTTGGGTAAGCGATCCATGGATTGGATTGGGTCTAAACAGGGTGATGGTACACCCCGCAGTCATTTTTGCTTGAATTTAACCTTCTTGGTGTCTTTCTCGAAAACAATGTTGGTGTCGTCTTCTGTGTTTTTCATGTGCTATGACCTAAGCTCTGTTCACTTTATCATTCTTTTAGGGGAAAAAATGAAAAATGAAAAACAAAATAGTCATTCCCTGTGAGGAACTGTGAATTTAGTTTAGTTACCAAAGGCAAAGCCTTGTATATATATACATATCTGAGATATATTTTATGAACAATACTTCCATATCATTGTAATTTGTTTTTCACCATTGGTGGTAAAGGTGTGGTGGTTTGAGGTGCTGAATTAGATTGATTGGGATTATGAGTATGATTGAGCAATGTAAGATTATTAGTGTAAAGTAGTATTAAGTTGGAGATGTAACATAAATTGTGTTTGTTTGTATACTATTGTTTTGGTATTAGTTGGTTGTGATTAAAATTATGAAATTATTAGAAGTTTTTCTTATACGAGAAGTTTATGTTTTTGTTTCTGTAAGTGATTGTAAAATGGTCTTTATTCTATGGGATTAGATTGTGAATCTTATGAGAAATGCTAATTCCATCGTTTGAGTAATACTCATTTTTTTTTTATAATCAAACAAGATTTATGAGAGTTGCATACTCAATTTTTTTTTTTTGGTTTTAGCCAAACAAGATTTGTGAAATTCGTGGAATTGTTAATCCAATCTGACCTGCTTATCTCAAACACTTTGGTCATATAGTTCAAAAATCCATGTCAAATAGGCTAGTTCATTATGTATATATAAATTATTAAATTTTAAAAGTGGAGTTTACTATTAATGATAACTTGATTTTAAGACAAGTGCGATTTTTGCATAGGAAAACACAAACAACCTCAAATCGCACTGTTAATAAAATTGTAATCTTGAATTATGTTCCGATTACTGATCTTAAAATAAAATAATTATGTATATGTAAAAATAAAAGATCTATCAGAATTAATTTTTCCAAGCCGAAAAATTTGAATTAATTGTGAATTTATTTTATCTAAAATTATATAATTCAAATTTTCTCACATTTGTGGATACAAATGTTTGAGATTCCTAAATCATTATACCAAGTGATATAGACTCTTATTTATTTATTTTTATGTCAATTGGTAATTTGTACGAGAATCAACAAATTAAGAGTCATGCTACTGTGGATAAAATTAATTGTTAATTTGTTTTGTAACATTTGGTCTCTATTTATTATTAAAAAATTGTAAATAATTTTATAATCACAAAAAATAGTTATATTTTTATCATCACCACTGACCATTACATCCAACCAGGCCACCTCCTTCATCAATTTTAGTGGCCAACAATTACCTCGGGTCATAGACAGTCACATTCGGCTGCTACTTGATAATTACTTCTTGTGATTGTCATGTTTTTACCGGAAACATCTATATCCACCACATCAAGTTGAAAAATCAACTCCAACCGTGGACTACTATGGCCTTGTTTGGCAAAGATAAAATTTTGTTTTTTAAGTTAAAATTCATAAAAGATAAAATAAGTTAAAAGATATTTTGAAAAAATGGTTAAAATTTACTTTTTGACTTGTTTTAGTTTTTTTGTGAGAGAATAAAGTGGCTTAAAAGTTAAAAAGTGACTTTTAAGTCATTTCTTAAAATATGCCAAAATAGTCAATAAAACAGAATAGAATGTTATATTAAATTTATAATCATTTTATTTTTTTTTTACAAATATTACATCCAACTATAAAAAAATTCAATTATTTTTTCAAACATAAAAATTTTAATCTATTAAAATAGTTAAAAATAAAATAAAATAAAATGAAGTAACCTTTTAAAATAATCCACTTTTCAAACAAGGTGTATTACGGCTGATAAAAAAATAATAAACATGATAGAAGGTTTTTGCAAATAAAAAAAAAAGTAGAAATCAAAGTCACTTGCTACTCATTCGTGAATTTAACGTGTACCAACAAATAAATTTCGGTGCTGAGATTGGAATTGGAATAGGAATAGGAATAGGAATAGACACGAAAAGGAAGGAAGGGCTATCAAACGAGTTTCTCAGATCTGATCTGATCGATTTACCTGCAAATCACAACCAGAAAAACTAAAAATGTCTTCAACGTTCAGCGGCGATGAAACTGCACCCTTCTTCGGCTTCCTCGGCGCTGCAGCTGCCTTAGTCTTCTCCTGTAAGTAATCAATTCCAATCTCCAATCTTTGATTCCCCACTATTGATCTCATCACATCTGTAAATTTCAATTATTATATGTATGCATAAATTCGTGTTTATATTGATGATGATATGTATGCGTATGTGTGATTTATTGGTGTTTTAGGCATGGGCGCTGCGTATGGGACGGCGAAGAGCGGAGTTGGAGTGGCGTCGATGGGTGTGATGAGGCCGGAGCTGGTCATGAAGTCGATCGTGCCCGTGGTTATGGCTGGTGTGTTGGGTATCTATGGATTGATCATTGCTGTCATTATCAGCACTGGGATTAACCCTAAAGCCAAATCTTATTACCTTTTTGATGGATACGCTCATCTTTCGTCTGGTCTTGCTTGTGGCCTCGCTGGCCTCTCTGCTGGTATGGCTATTGGTATCGTCGGCGATGCCGGTGTTAGGTACTCTCTCTTTCTCTCTTCTGTTTTTTTTCGTTTGAGGATTCATTTTGTTAAATTGATTTCGGACGTGCTTGAATCAACTGGAAGTCTAACTGCTGGTGTGATTTTGTACCCTATAATATTTGCAATTTTTATGCAATGAATGATCTGAGTGATGCTTGATTTAAATCTGGTGGTTTAGCTCTCACTTTATAATTTGTTATGTTATATTTGTTTTGTATAGATCTTTTACAGTTGGTGTCATGCTATGATTCCCAAAAGGATTTTTTTATCTGCTTTTCTCTTCAACTTATTGTTATTCTTCGTAATGGAGGAATTCAGAATGCTTTGGTTGCTTGGTGTTTATGAAATTGAGTGTGGGTATGAAGATATGTGATTAGGTGGCTAGTAATGGCATTCTGGGAAGATGATAGTTACTAAGATGGCACATGACCACCAGAGGTGGAGAGAGAGAGAGAGTGTGTGGCAGTGAGAGAGGAGAGCCCATAAGATGGGAGAGTATTCTTGGCATGTTGTATGGAATTGGAGACCTCGTTTTATGGAAGAGTTGGACCATGGAGGCCAACTCATCCTTAACTTGGTCAAAGAGGCTTCACTCATGTTTAAGGCTGGTCCAAGTGGGCTCACCCCAAAGGGTTCAACCGAGTAACTTTGATGATCTGTCAACTCTAGCCATCAATGAGCAAGTCACTGGTGATCCTGCGAAGGGTCATGGGTCACTTGGGTGTCCCATGGCCAAAGCACCAACTCTAGCAGTCCTCCCTAGGCCCTTTGCTTTCAACCTAGGCAGACTATATGGCATCAGGGTGCAAGTCTTGAGTCGATTGTTCGGGTATGGTTGTGAGTCCATCCCCTCAGTGGTGCTAAGGTGGCAGGTCATGTGGAACAGGAATGGGAGGATTGACATGAATTGGACTTGTAATTAGAATAAACTATTTTTATTACAGCTTGCACAACCATTTAAATTGGGGTGACAATGAGATCTTGCCATACATTAGCATAAATGAATGATGTTGCTGTTCTATTGGCAAACGTATGTAAACAAAGTTTCAATTCTTGTAGTTGCTTGCACTTTTTCTTGCTTGTTCCTTGTGAATTGGGATTTTTTTTTTTGTGTGTGTGTGTGTGTGTGTGCGCTTGTGTGTATTTGATTATTTTGTGTCACATCTTTCTTTGAATTCCATGTAATGCTTAGCCTAAATTAACCAGCTTAAATTGATTTGGTAGTGGTACTTGATTTTTGATGGTTGTATTGTTTATTTTCTTTTAGTAGTAGATAGTACTTTTTCTGATTCTATGAATGTACCTTGCAGAGCCAATGCTCAGCAGCCAAAACTTTTTGTTGGGATGATCCTCATTCTCATCTTTGCTGAAGCGCTTGCTCTTTATGGCCTCATTGTCGGCATTATTCTATCTTCTCGAGCTGGTCAATCGAGAGCGGACTAAAATAGGGCATTCTGGTTGGTGGTGGTGATGGTGATGGTGGTTTGGTTTGTTGCTATTGATAAGAATTATTTTGATGTTCTCTCCAGTCAAAATTGAAATTCAGTCGAGGGAGTGTCTTCTGATTCAAAAATTTTCTATTTGGTTCTGCATTGCTTGGTGAGATGGATTGGGTAGTTGGTATGTGCTAATGGTAGAATGTAGATTAGCTTTTTGTTCTCTCTTTAAATAATATTGTACTGTTTCGTTTTATGGATACTCTGTTTCACAAATCAGTTTGAATTTGGCTAGAATTAATTATTGTCTGTATTGTTTCTCCAGCTTCCTTGGTACCGTATTTGTCAAGTATTTTTTTCTTTCCTTATGCTTGGTTCAAGTAATTGTTGCATATACAGGCTTGTCTTGCTATCTTTATTTGTGAATATTGACTTAGAATCCTGTCATGGCTTGTTGGGATATATGAAAAACAACGATTTGTAGAGGGTCTCCCCATCAATCTTTTACTTTGTCAATGATGTTGTTGGGGCATGTGGACATGATATGATAAACTAGCTACTGTGCATGGATGTTATTGGGGCATGTTGACACCATAGACGATACAGGTTGTTCATAGAATGAAAAGGCTTATATGGTTACTAGTTTGCTGGTTCAGCTGACATTTGTTGAGCTCCTTTTGAATTCAGAGCTTCCCAGCTAGTATGTGTGCACTACAATGCTGGGCTGTTTATTTGGTTTGGTTTGGTTTATTTTATTTTTTATATATTATTTTTGGATAACCGGGTGTCTGGACCCGTTTTCGCGCACCTCGATGGTTTGGTTTGATTTTACGTGTTTCAGCTTTAACATTTGAAGTATGAAAGTCTGTTTAACCAAAAAGCAGTTAGGCACCGCCTGTTTAGTAGTTTTTTGGGGGGTGCTGATAGTTTAAATAGGAGTAGCTGTTATAATAGTTTAAATATGATACCTATCGGCACACAAAAATTTGTCCCTTTAGGTGGAATACATGAGAATTATAATCAAGCCCACGTCTTGGCGACCTATTTACCTTGAGATAAAAAAACCAAGAAAAAAAAGAAAGTTGAAGGTGGTTGAAACTGGCTCAGTCCTGAAGCATTCAAGATGATCATGATTTTCTGAAATATTTCATTGACCTACTTTACGTGGTTGAAATTCTTTTGTTCCACCCATTTGGATTTTTTTCCCTCTTCTAATTTTATGCTCATGTATATTTTCGTATCTTCCAAGTTTTGTTTGAAAAATTGGATTCTTGTACAGAAAAGAAACAAGAAGGAAAAATTGAATAAAATAAAGTTATGTTTGAATCTTAAATTTAATGAGGGATATGAAGGAAAAGAAAAAAATGGAGAGAAAAATGACTAGACATTTACTTCTTTCCATCCATTTCTCTTTTTATTTACAAACTCTCTATTCCAATTCAAAATTCAAATAATTTTATTTATTTATTTATTTTGTTTGGGTAATTTTCCTTGGTAATGCACATATTTATATAAAACAAAGAGCTTTTTATTTATTTATTTATTTCGTTTTTCCTTACAAAATTTATGCTAAAACAAAATTTTGATTAATTTATTGTAAAACAATTGTTGTAAAACTTACTGGAAGCTATGTCCAGGAAAATCCACATGAATTCAAAAACAAGTTGAGTTCAAAATAACTTACATCTAAGGGTTTGTTTCGAAAGCGAGTTGATTTTTTGACTTTTTTAGTTTAGGATTAAAAAGTCTCGTTTGAGAAGGTTTTTTTTTGGCTTTTTTAACTGTTTGTGAGAAAAAAAATATAATAATTATGAGTTAGATGTAATATTTTATCTTATTGAATTGAAAAGTCTATTTTGTCCTTTTGTAAATAACCCCAAACCCCACCCAACGCATCTTCCCAAACAGAGGCTAATCATTCAAAAGCTGATACAAATTTGGGGAAATGATTGTAAGAAATTGGAATATAAGCTCAAGGCTGAAGAAGGAGATGAATGCAACACAAAGAGCTTGAACTCGGAGAGACCTTGGGGATCAGAAGGAGATGAATGAATGCTCTCCCAATTGACACCACGCCATTTTGAAGAAAGCTTAAGAGAGAGAGAGAGAGAGTGTGTGTTAAAGAGCTCTCTGAATAGTTTAAGAGATTTGACTCAATAGGAGGCGAAGGCAATCAAAAGAATTACCACTTAAGAGATTTTAAGTCTGAATCCTACAAAAATTGAACATTTCAAATTTTAGGGCTATTGGAGTTTTGCTCGGTCATTAATTTTAAGATTTTAAAATTAATTGAAATATGTGTAAATTAATCTAGACATTTGATTATAAAAAAAAATAAATAAATAAAAACAGAGCTCTCCAAATGATTTGGGCCTCATTATTGCATGGCTTAAAAGCTTAGTTTGGGAAGAGTTTTTTGGCTTTTTGGCTTTTTGGCTTTTTTGAGTTTTTTTGTGAGAGAAGAATGTAATGATTATGGGTTGGATGTGATGCTTTGTTTGTTATGGCTAAAATAGCTTATTTTATTTTTTGTGGCTAAAATAGTTAAAAAAACCTGCAAACCCACTTGCCAAACACAGGAAGAGATTTTAAGTCTGAATTTTACGAAAATTGAACATTTCAAATTTTAGGGCTATTAGAGTTTTGCTCGGTCATTAATTTTAAGATTTCAAAATTAATTGAAATATGTGTAAATTAATCTAGACATTTGATTATAAAAAAATAAAAATAAATAAAAACAGAGCTCTCCAAATGATTTGGGCCTCATTATTGCATTTCTTGCTAGTTGCGACCTCCATCTACGTCATGGCTAACATCTTGCTAGTTGCTTGTTTTTGACTTTTATATTATATTGTGAGATTGCCGTTGCCGTTGCTTACATTGATCATTGACCCGTTCCACCCGACCCATTTCAGATTTCAGATGGGTGTGATGGAGTTTTTTTAAAAAAGTGAGTGTTATTTATTTTTAATTGATTCTTTCAATGATATTCATTATTGTTGTGATTGATCCATAAATTTAACAGGTGAACTTGTGGATCAATTAGTCCCAATTTTATTTTAATGAATACGGAAGTCGCATTGAATAGAAATTGACACATTTACTCATGTGATTTACTGTATTAGCCACGTTTGAAAAATTTACTAACCATGTTTGGAAGAAATACGTTTCACGTTTCGAAAAATTATATTAAAAACTTTTTTATTTGGGCCACGTTTGAAAAATACACTAATAACGTTTGAAAAAAGTATATTAAATTTTTATTTCTTTATCCTGTATTAGTCATGTTTGAAAAATATAACACATTCCAAAAACAAAACAAAAAAAAAAAATGAACCCAACAATCAATAAAGGTGAAAATGTCTTAATGTGACATAGCAATATATTAAATAGAATCTCATAGAAAATGTTTTCAAATAAACGGCACTCACCGGTCTATAAAAAAAAACAACAATGCTAGGTATCTCAAAATTTTGTGGCTCAAATGGCTCAAATCACTCAAAACGACGTCGTTTTGACATATTTTGAGTATAAAACGACGTCGTTTTGACAGATTTGAGCCATTTGAGCCACAAAATTTTGAGCTACCAAACATTTTCCAAAAAAAAATAAATAAATAAAATCATGGTATATAAATTTCTAAAGTGAACTTTTCAGGTAATTTTTGTTTCATTATTTTGGATTTTTATTTGAAACGTTGATGCATGTAAAGTGGGTTTACGTTTACCTCTGTTTTGTAGGTAAACAACAAATATTTATTTGCTTAAAATTATTAAAGAGTGAATGAAAAATTAATTATAATAATTAGTAATTTTTTTACTTTTATTCTCAATAATTTTACCTCTGTTTTGTAGGTAAACAACAAATATTTATTTGCTTAAAATTATCAAAGAGTGAATGAAAAATTAATTATAATAATTTGTAATTATTTTACTTTTATTCTCAATAATTGTAGAAGGTGATAGGAAGAGGGATAAAAAAAAGACATTTGAGTAATTGTATTGATAAATTCTAAGAGAAATTAAATTGTAAATGAGTGGAATAAGGGGTCACTGTTGTGACTCTATGTGTTTTTACTGTGTAGCAGAAACATTTTGAAAAATACAATTATGACATATACAAAGCACTTGTACGAAGGTTTTGTTTATTTTGACGTGAAATATTTTACTTATTTTTTATCATAAGATTGAATAATTTCTTTTAAATTCTACATATTTACATTTGAGTAATTGTAATAATAAATTCTAAGAGAAATTAAATTGTAAATGAGTGAAATAAAGGGTCACTGTTGTGACTCTACGTGGATGTTTGGAAAGTGGTTTTTTTTTAGATTTTTAAATTTTTTGACTATTTTAATAGACTATTTTAGTTTTTTGTTTGGGAAGTTTGGTTAAATTTTTTGGTTGATTGTTATATTAAAAAATGTGTTTGAAATGATGTTTAAGATTGAAATGACAAATTTGCCCCTAACCTTATTTTTTTTTCAAAATTGAGCTATAGGGGTAAAATGGTCATTTACCTGTTTGCTGCTGACAGCCGTTGCTTTTCTTTTTCTTTTCTTTTTTTTTTTGAATTAGGCCGGACAATTTGAGGCTTTTGGGTTTTTTTACAATTTGAGGCTAAAATAGCCAATGTCAAAGGTTCCCAAACACCTCCTACGTATTTTTACCAGTGGATGACCCGTGCCTACGGCACTCTAAGTTTTTTTTAAAAAAAAAAATTGCATTCAAGTTAATACATTTTGACCAATGAAAAATAAAAGTTAAGACAAACTAATGTAGCGCTTTCCATACTGGTAAAAATTCACCACATTATAGTTATGATCTATTCAATCGCTTAATAATTCTTCATATTCAAAGTTAAACTCCGTATCACAGTGTATACGAAACTTTCAGTATACACATATAGACAACTACAATCATTTTTAATTCCCTTTGTCCTTTTACTTTGTAATTACAATATGAAATCAGGAGAGATTTACTTAATACACATAGTTCATGAATTAATTTGAAACCAAAAAATAAATAATCATGTATTCTATATGTATAGCCTCAAGTGTAGTCCCACTTTAAACTTAATTCAACATCTCTATATGCATTTTAGATCTGATTATTTCTTATTGCCAATAGCACACCACCATAAATGCGTGATGCTTGAAAAAGATCAAAAGATCCATTTGCAAATCTAGTTGATCTTTCAAAGGGAATTACAATCTCACAGAAAAATATCTTTCAAATGGAACTATTTGTTTTATTCACGTTAAATAAATTCATTCTATCAATTACATTATACGCATACATATGTGTATGCATTTATAGTGTTTAAAAAAGGAAAGACAGTAAAAAGAAAAGGCTTTTTACGTTAGATA